TTCTTGCTTTTCAATGAACACATCTGTTTAAAGCTTACTTTTCTTTTATATACTGCATTCAGTAGAATTTGAAACAGAAGGGGAAAAAACTACCAACAAAACAAGTTGCAATAAATTGAATGCAAAAACAGATAAAAGATGCCCTGATTGACTGGAGAGATGGCTGTGTGGTTTAAAACTGGTTCATCTTCCAGAAAGCCCCATTCAACTCCTAGCACAACTGTCTAAAACTCTGCTCAGCGCCACCTTCTGGCCTCCATGGGCACTGGTTGCACGCAGTGCACAAACATGCAGACAAAACTCATAAAATAAAAAGAAATAAAACTTTTAAAAACAAGATTCTACAAGTCTTCTCTTACTCCAGTTGCAGTAATGATGTTATCAAATATACCAGTCTACTCCTACTTATTTTCTCACTTGAAATTTTTTACTTAAATACATTCTTCTCAGAAGGATACCTGGTCTTAGCAGAGGCTATAATTGGAAGAGGATGCAGTAAATTAAGGTCATTGGGTCAGATTCTCTCCATATTAATTTTTTATAAGGACCTCTGTACAGAAAATGGTTTTCCTTTTATAAATTATCAGAAAAGTATCAAAATTATTTCATTCTGTAAGATGAAAGTGGTAGGAATTCCAGACTTCCTTGTGTATAAAGTTTTATTGGGTCATAACCACACTTGAGGGTTTATGTGTCCATTGTTTCTATTGCTTTCACTCTGGAGCAGTGGGCTTGACTCTTCTACCAGAGACCATATGGCCTGCAAATCTAGAGAAACTTCACTTTGATCCATCTTATTTATTATTCTTGCCCCTGGAGTTCTTGTGAAGAAAGGGTTCTAAAAACAAGCTAGGGGTTTTGTTTTTTACTTTTGTTTTTTTAATATATAAACTTTTCAAAAGGTCAAGCCAAACAAATGAGCTAGTGTTCTTTTGGCACCCTAAAGTCAGAGCAGGGTAGGGCTCATAGTTCAACTTGAAAAGCACTCTTTCAATAAACGTTATAGGTGCTTTTAAAAGAAACCATTTAGAAGTTGGGGCCATAGCTTAGTTGATAAAGTGCTTGCCTAACATTGGGCTCTGTTCCCAACACACAAACTACCAGAAACAGCAGGAGGGTCGGGGTCATTCTTGCCTCTATAGCAGGTTCAGGCCAGTCTGTGCTACAGGAGACCCTGTCTTAATAAAAAAAAGCACATACTACAAAGCCAGCAAACAATTGAAGGTGCGTGCTCGTATTCTAGCACTAGGGAGTTCTGGGCCCCACCAGCTAGTGCTGTATTAGAAAGCCCCTGTATCAAAGAAACTTACCCATATATGTTGCCAGAAACTTAAAAATTGAATAAAGAAATAAGAAACCCTTTTCCTTATACTGTTTAAGATATTTTTCTTAAAGGTGAAATGAAAAGGCCTTTGTCTCATATTCCCAGTCTCACACACTGGTTCCATCACATTCAGAACTCACGGATAGAATCCAAAGGAAACTGAGTCTAAGGAAGGCATCTCTCCTATTGCATAATGCCTCCTGTAATTGTCTGGTTTCTTTGGATAAAGCTGTAAGTAGGCTTCTTTGGCATCTTTTTCATTTAGACCAGTGATTTTCAACCTCTCTAATGTTGGAACCCTTTAATACAGTTTCATGTTGTGGTGACCCCAACCATAAAATTATTTTCATTGCTACTTCATAATTGTAATTTTGCTTCTGTTTTGAATTGTAGTGTAAATATTTGTGTTTTCCTATGGTCTTAGGTGACTCCTGTAGAAGGGTCATTCAACTCCCAAAGGGGTCACCATCTAAAGGTTGAGACGGGTTGATTTAGACAGCTAAGGGAATGTTTCTCAGTGTTCTTTACTGTAATATTTCAGACTGTTGGCTTTGTGGTCAAATTCTTTATTCAGTCCCCTCTCTGGCTGAGTGAATCTGTTGTATCATCTAGATAAGGAAATAACACTAATAATGATATAGTGAGAATGCCCCATTGAACTTTCAGTGAGATGGTACAAGTCAGACACTTAAGATTTAGCCACAAAGTCAGCTGTGTCGAAGTTGTCTGTAGCAAATGAGCCACTTATGCCAAACCCAAGCAAAATGTTTTCTGGAGCTCCTTTGTTTGCCAAATGTACACAATGACAGGAACAGACACTGTCACAGAGAATATTCCCTAAAATTGAATTTTCTGGTTCTGTCAGTTCTATACAGACCCTCCATTAGCTCCAATGAATAAAAATTAGCCCCTTCCATCTGCCCCTTGAACCAGTGGTTCATTTGTCCCTTAAGAACCCTTCCTTGCCCTGACCCTCTAGGATATCCACCATGGCACATGAGCACCCAAGATTTCAGTCCTTTGCTGTTCCTGAATAAACTAGAGTGTTTTGGAGAGTCTGTTTCCCTCTTCCCTAGTTTAGACCGGCAGCTCTGTTGCTGGTCTTGTAGCTGTGTCTCTAGCACTGATTGACAGATTTTGATATTCTTATTTGTTTTTTTTTTTTAAGATTTATTTATTATATATGAATACATTGTAGCTATCTTCAGACACACCAGAAAAGGGCATCAGATCTCATTACAGATGGTTGTGAGCTACCATGTGGTTGCTGGAGATTGAACTCAGGACCTCTGGAAGTGCAGTCAGTGTTTTTAACCACTGAGCCATCTCTCCAGCCCTCTTGTTTGTTTTTTAAGATTTGGGTATCTCATTGAATGGAATCAAGGCTTTATAAAGATTTGTTTATTTTGTGTGTATGGATATTTTACATGAATGTCTGTTTACCAAGTACATGCTTGGTGCCTCTGGAGGTGAGAAGAGGATGTCAGATCCCCCAGACCTAGAGTTAGTTACAGACAGTTATGAACTGCCAGGGTGTGTGCTGGGACCCAAACCTGGGTCCCCTTCAAGAACACAAGTGCCTCTTAACTGAACACAAGTGGCTCTTAACTGCTGAGCCATCTCTCTGCCCCCCTTCAAAGTTTATTTATTTTTAAAGATTTATTTACTTTATGTATATGAATGATTTGCATGCATTTGAGAATGTGTTTATTGGAGTCTCTTACACCAGAGTTACACATGGTTGTTAGCCAGAATATGGGGTTCTGGAAATAAAAATCAAGTCCTCTGCAAGAGCAGTAAGTACTCCTAACCACTGAGCCATCTCTATAGCCCCTCAAGGTTTCTTTTTAAAACATGTTACTCAATTTTTACTTTAGAAAAGGTAAAAAGAAGGTTACAATTAATTTTTGCTAGTGATCCAAGGAAGTTTCTCAATAGATTTTCATTTAATAGTAACAGTATGTTTCTGTTTAATGGAATTAGAGTGACTTGGTATTGTGTGACAAACTTTTCCTGGGGAGAAGCCACGCACTTGTCTACTCACCCCAGACATGGAACCACGACAGACCGAAGTACAGATTCCACTAAAATCCAACTTGGTGTAGCAGTGACTTTTATTGGAACTACAAGAATATAGGTGAGGGGTCACTTACAGAAGCAGGAATGACTCAAAGGCAGCTGCATCACCAAAGCCCACCCCCAGGACTGGTGACAATCTCACAAAGCTGGGAACCTGGAACACACTGCACAGTCTGCAGGCAACTCAACAGGTCATAGAGTGACTTTTCCAGGTGCCTCAGGTGGCTTAAACCTCTTCCAGACACCGTGGCTGGTTCCTGCTTCTCCCACAAGTCTGATCTCAAGGTGTTCTTTATAGCTTAGCTTGTCTGAGAGTCTTCTTTGTAGCTTAGCTTTATTTGCCTGAGAGAGAGTCTCAGCTTTAATTTCATTCTCTGGCAGAAAGGGGCCTAGTGAATTTGGTCAGTTTCAGGGACTTCCTGAAGATATTTTAAGTTGTTTACCTCCCTCGTTAAAGAACTTCAATGCAGGGCAGAATGTTTCAGTCTTGGAGGAAACACTTGGATCTGTGTAACTTACAAAAAGGAATATGCCTGGAACTCTTCTAAATGTTTCCTGGTTTTTGGTTTTTTGTTTGGTTTGGTTTTGGAGACATAGTCTCACTATGTAGACCAGACTAGTTTAAAACTCAAAAGACTCTGCCTCTGCTTCTGCTTCTATCTCTCTGTGCCCTCTGCTCCTCTGCCTCCCAAACATGAAATTAAAGGTGTGTAGGGATCTCTCTGCATTAAATATAAGTATCTTGTTTTTAGGTGAGACAACTGAAGTACTCATGGCAGTTTGTAAATCGCCGCAGATTACTTAGCCAGTAACAGTCAAGAGTTGGATTTTGAACCTAAACTTTGCTTCCAGAGCTACCTTATTTTAATTTTTTTTATTTGTTGTGAGACAGGATCTTAACAAATGATCCAGACTGGCCTTCAACCTCCTTAATTCTGAGAATATGGGGTGTTATATCACTCCCATCATAAGATGTTTGTGTTTTTAAACACTGTAATCTCGTGGGTTTTTTTTTTAAACCATTCTCATATCTGGCATTACCTAATATGTGAGTGATGGCTTTTCTTAAAGGAACTTGAGTTTTACTTGTAGTGTCAAGCATGATGGGTAATGTACATATTAGTGGTAAATAAAGTAAGATGTGCTATCCACAACATTACACAGAATATTATAATGGATATACTTGGGTTTTCTTGGCTCTAATAATAACTGTTTCACTGTAGGTCCTCTTAGCAGTTAACAATAGCCAGCACTGCCTATTTTAGAATGGTTTACTTAAAGACAACAAAAATTTGGATTAAAAAATTGCTTAAGAAATCTGTTTATAATTCTGAGGGTTTTTTTTTTTTCTGGTGCTCACTCAAAAAAATGTGTGTCTGTTTAGAGCTTTTCCTTTTTGGGTGTTTCTATTGCATGCTGGTTGAGGTTGATTTATTGGTGTTCGATGGCATTTTACTATAGCAGATCATTCCAGTGCTCCTAGGAGAGGCCATGAGAAAATGTGACTTATGCTGGTACTCAGGTGTGATTTTTGAATTTGATCCCAAAACTTTTGAAATGTTAGTGATCTTGAAATTTGCTTCATTTCCTGTTTCAGAATTCTCCACTTTACCAGTACTTACAGGATTTGGGACACACAGATTTTGAGATATGTTCTTCTTTGTCACCAAAACCAGAAAAATGCTCGACACCAGAGGGACCTCAGCCTCCACCCACCAGAGTCCTACAGAAAGTAAGACGCATGCTCACTCATGTCCCATGGCTTTATCCGTTCTTTACCTTAATGATTACGTAAGCTGTCTTTTAGGGCCAACGATGGAGCTCAGTGGGACAGTGCTCTCCCAGCATGCACAGGGCCTGAGTTCAGTTCTTCCTCACATGAGGTTTTTTTATTTCATGGATAGTATAGAACTGTGAGAGGAATGTCAGTTTTTATTGCTCATCTGGAATTTTTTTTTTTGTGCGTGTGAGTCATTTATATGAAGTGAAATTAAAATGACTTGAGAAATAAGATATATTTTAAGTATTTAAATTATCTGGAGGACCAAAGAAATATACTAAACATTTGCCTGTGGTAATTCTCTGTTAAGTGCCGTGTTCACTTAATCCTTCCACGGCAGTTTCCAGGGACTGAACTCAGGTGCTCCTTCTTGGCAGCAAGATGCTCTCCCGGAGTCATCCTGCCATCTTGGAGGTTCATTGTCGTTTGGGTGCATGGCTTAAATATGTCCCTTCTTTACACCACATAGACATTCATTTTACCACTGAGTTATATACACACACAATGGCCTACAAAGTCTGGGGGGTGGGGGGACATGTCTTACTTAGGGTTACCATTGCTCTGAAGAGACAGCATGCCCATGATAATTCTTATAAAAGAAAACATTTAATTGGAGCTGGTTTACAGTTTCAGAGGTTTAGTCCATTATCATCATGGCAAGAAGCATGGCAGTGTGCAGGCAGACAGGGTGCTGGAGGAGCCAAGAGTTGTACATCTTGATCTCAAGACAGCCAGGAGGGGACTGTCTTCCACAGGGAGCCAGGAGGAGGGTCTCTTCTGTACTGGGCAGAGCTTGAGCACTAGGAGACCTCAACACTAGTACACTTGGTTACAGTGTACTAGTACACTTAGTATACAGTGGTACACTTCCTCTGACAAGGACACACCTCCTAATAGTGCCACTTCCCATGGGGCAACCACCTCAGAGAGGTTATTGTAAGCTTACATATAAAAATGTATCCTAGTTAAGTGCCATTGTGTGACAGTGTGCCAAGATACTGCTGCTGATGTATAAACCCTTGTCCCCAGCCATTCTCCCAAGTATCCTCAACCCAGTAGAACATGATAAAGTCCCCAGAAATACAGAAGGCACAAGCCAAAGGCTTGACCGCAGGGTCCTGGCTTAAATGGAACTATCTGCTTCACTGACCTGAATGCAGGGGCACGTCTGCCTGGACTCAACTCATTAGACCCATGTGAGATCAGCAAGTGTCTATCCCAACTTCTGCCCCAGGCTCAAGAGCTCCCTCTTACAAGTTGTTTGGAATTGGATATAATGTTTTCCAAATAGGTTGAGAGAGCTAATCACAGATTGAAGACTGGACTAACATTTAATATCTTGTATTAAGTTTGTCAAGAATGACTCCATTCTTGCATAAAGACATGCTCTACTGGTCACTAAAGTCAATGAGTATCCTGAGGGAGTCAGCACATCGTCTAAGCTTCTCTGAATCTCTTCTTGAGTCATAATTGCCCTAGTTCAGAGCTCCTTAATCTTCATCTACTCAAGACTTCTTTTTGTTCAAGAAATTGTTATGCATCCTTAGGTATCTCGGTATATAAAACATGTATACAAACCAAGTGTTCTCTGATAATAAATCATAACAAAATTTATTTGAATATATTTGTATGCATATGGCTTGACCATGTATTAAAAACAAAAGCTATGGGGCATAGTGTCACACACCTTTAATCCTAGCACTTAGGAGGTAGAGGCAAGTGGGTATCTGAGGCCAGCCTAGTCCACATAGGGTATTTCAGGCCAGCCAGGACTATATAACAGAAAGACCATGTCTCAGAGGGGAAAGGGGAAGGGGGAAGGGACAGACAAAGGCCAGTTTATGTGCTAGTGAGATTGTTGTGCTAGTGTATTTTTACATGAAGAGGTAAATCTTAACTGAATACTTGATCCTGTAGGATGTAGAACATAGTCAACTTTGTTCAGAATTTGTTGGTATTTTGATTCTATGATTGTCAATGCTAAGAATGCCTTTTTGCACAAAAACATACAAAATTGCAGGCATGTGGTTAGGGCCATTTCAGAAAGTTTACAAGTCCTGACCTGATTCCAAACACAAATCATTCAGAAAATGACTGTAAGAAAATATTTAAAGTCTTCATTTTCTATAATTGTCATCATTCTTCAGCATACAAGTATCAAAAAGGATAACTTTGGATTGTATAGCCAGAATGAGTTGCTAATAAGTTTGTAAAATATTACAGAATGATTTCATTTCATTCCTGCGGTCTGTCTGTCTTTGCTTCTCTATGAAGTTCTCTAAAGCAGCAGTTATGTGCATTCATCCTTGTCTGCATGGCTGTTTGCAGGACCTGGGACATAGAACCACTAAAAGCCTATAAACTCCATTTACTGCCATGCTCAGGGAATGGGGCTGGGAAGATAGATTACATATTTAATTGGTTTGTTAATAAAACTTTTGACATGACAGTTCTTATAAACGAATTAAAATATCTTTCTACTTTAGTATTTTATAACCAAATGATACGAATATTGAGAATGCAGACTATATTATAATTTCATTCTGAAATAAATATAATTATCCTGTTGACACAGAGAGCCTTTAGTATTTCCATGATAAATGGGGCACATCATAGAGACGTTTTTATTGTCAGATTTACAGCTCTCATTTCAGTCTGTTGAATTAAAGGCTTAGTTAAGGACCCAGGAATGCAACGCAAGTACAGTTGTGGGTCACGCTGCTGTGCAACTAGAAGCAGGAATAAGTGAGGGGCTGTAGCCCGCTGACTGAGCGATAACCTGCAGGAGGGGTTCTCTCTTTTTCTGATAAAAAAGTCCAGTTACTTAGAGGTAAGTTGTTTAGTTTTTCTGCCTTTTGAGTGTGTTTAATTAATAATCCTACACGATGTCATTCATAATCTTTAGCAAGGCATCCTGTTGAAACTGACAGAAACCATCAAGAGTTGGACTTTTTCTTCTCAGCACAGTAAGAAAGATGACTTACTCCACAAGTTGGTGAGTGTTACTTTACTTTGCTTCATTTTGTTCCTCTCTAGGGTCCCCTGGAATCATGAGAGGACTGAGGGGCTGGGATCTGTTTTGATGCTGATTTTGATATGATTGGTCTTTATTAGAAATTCTACAGTAACAGGGGAGCTTTAAACAGGGCTAGCTGTATTGTTCGTATTTCTTATAAAAGGTAGCCAGTGTTCTGGTACTTTGTGCTGCCTTGTTTATTAGACGGCTAATTTACTGTCATCCTTCCTGAGATTCCTCGTAGGAAGGAAGGAAATAAATACAGCGATTAGTACAATCAGCTCAGTCCTGAGGGACTGATAAATCACACTTTCCCAGAGTCAGTATTGATGGCTTTGCTGGTTCCTGTAAAACCCCTCCCTCTCACTGTCTCTGCTGTAATGTATCTGCCACTTAGCCAAGCCCCTAAAGAGGCACAGTTAGCCTTATGACTTACCAATGTAAAGCCATCCAGTATACCCAGAACACTCAGCTTGCTGGGCCCTCTTGGTTCTCGGAGACGTGATGAACTTACAAGCGTGCAGGTGTGAGGATTCTCTGCTGACCCTAAGAAGTATGATTTGCTTTTGATTTTTTTTTTTAATTAACTTTTGGAAAGCAGTCATTTACAAAGCCTTCACATTTTGATTGGATACACCAAACCATATTATAAGATTTGGTCTATTTACCAGTAAGAGAAAACTAAGAATTAGATAGCAAGGGAATGCTTGTTGATTCAGCAAGGGAATAATAAGGGAAAATTTGAACCCAGAGTTTCTGAGTCCAAAGCTTGTGTTTTTTCCAATATAACACACTGCTTCTCTAGTTTGAGCATTGATGCCTTTCTTAAAAACTAGTATTTCTCTGTTACCATCACATCAGCTTAGCAATCACTTCAACATGTGTCTGCACAACTTAACCCTAACCAACTTTCCTGTCCATAGTTTTATCCGTGAATCCAGCCTTTTAACTCCTTTATCCTTGGGGTTGTATCCGTGCTGTTATTCTGTGACGGAACTCTTTCCTATTCCCTCTCAGTCTCTGTCAGTCTTTTCAATAGGTAATCCTAGCTTTTCTGAACACTTCATCCTATTGTGTCTTATTTCCTTTACCAGCCTAGTATCAATTACCTAGTTGGTAAGTTTGGTAAGTTTTATGTTATGATGCATAAACATAACATGTTTTGGGGTTTGGGGTTTTGAAGTTTCTTTGGTTTGGTTTTGTTTTGGTTTTGCCTCTTGAATTATTTCCTCTGTGGTAACATAATATTTTCTGCAGAAACTTGTCTTCAAGCTTTGCAGATGTCAATTGTTTCATCCAGTGAAGTAGGTACTGTTGTTACCCCTCTGCAGATGAGGAAAGCGGCTCTGGGATGTTATTAGCTTGCTTAAGTTATAGAGCCAAGATCCAGGCCTGGGTACTTAGGTCTTGGCTCTCAGGCTTTTTGAAAATGTGCCAGTTTACTCAGGATCCCACTAGCAGTGCAGAGCTCCTGCCAGCTATACCAGTGACCAGTGGGTGCTAAGTGACAGTTAGCTAAAAGTAAGTTCTGGTATGATGGAAACAGTAGGCTGCCTATAAATACCATTAATATGCTATACATTTCAAAAACTATAAGAAAGGATTTTAGAAAATTTTACTATACAGAAATATAAATATTTGAGATGCTAAATGTGTTTAACCTGATGTAAGCGTCCCACAGTGTATGTGTACCAAAACTTACATGGTACCCCATTAATATAATTTTATGTTTTGTTTTACTTTGCTTCTGTTTTTGTTTTCTTTTTGTCTTACTTTGTAGCCCAGGATAGCTCACCAAATAGCCCACCCTCATCTGAGGTATGTGGCTGTCGTCCTCTTCCAACTGCCCAGTTGCTGAGATTACAAGCATAAGTCACCATGCCCTGCCTTATTTTAAGTTGTCATGTATTACTTAAACAAGGCGCAGAAAGATGGCTCACAGGGTAGAGGCTTTTGCTGTGAAGCCTGACGAGCTGAAGTTGAACCTAGGAGCCATACAGTGGCCTCCTGTGGGCTGTCCTCTGATCTCCATGTGTACCCACACACATACTCCAAATACAAAACTAATAAATTTAACTTAAAATGTATAGATAAAAATAACTACCAAAGACTGAAGCTTTGAAATGGAAATTCTGAAAAGCTATTCAGTCTCCCTCAGTGTACATCTCAGGCTACTGTGAGAGCTAGCCTGCTGTTCGAAGGCTGCTGCCTCATCTCTCTCCCTCTGCCATGCTGGAGAGCAGAGTCTCCTCTCACAGATTAGAAAGACTTCATCCTTCCAGCCACTCTGGTCAGTTTTGTTCATGCTTAAGGCTAGCTCAGCTTTTCCCACTTTTTCTCTGACTTGCAGTTTAGTGCTTCTGTGTCATTTTTATAACTGCCTCTGCACCCTGATACACACTGTTATTGTAATCATTTACTTTCAGTTTTTCTCAAAGCCTTAAGTATAGATGCTCGCAGGCTAGGGGTGTGCCTTGGGGGCAGGGCACTTGCCTGGCATGTCCAGGGCATGATCTCCAACACTGCTGAAGGAAGAGACTTGTAAGTCTTGTTCATTCTTTGTCCTCAGTGTCTGGGTATCCATTTTTAGAAGGCCCTGGTCCCTCTGATAAAGTGCATTAGTTACATTTCTATTGCTGTCACAGAATCATGACCAAGGCAGTTTATTAAACAAAGCATTTATTTTGGCTAATGGTTTTAGAGGGTTAGTGTCCATGATAGAGCTCACGTTTTTAACTGCTTAGCAGGAGATAGAAAGCACAGTGAAATTGGCCCAAGTGTTTAGAAACCTCAAAGAACATCCAGATTACACATCTCATTGAACAAGGTTACACCTCCTACTCCTTTCTGACCAGTTCCACCAACTAGGGACCAAGTATTCAAATGTGAGCCTATGGCGGCCGGTCTCCTTCAGTCATCACTCTGGCTCAATTGTTACAGTATCCAGAGTCAGCATCATTTGTATTGTATTTTTTATGTATATTATATTTCACTTACAAACCAGTAATTTAACTAGAATTTATTCTCTTTATTTACTTAGTCTATTTATAAATAGACTAGGTTATTAATCTGTAATTACTTTATATCTCATTACTATAAACTTATTTTTCATCTTTCTTAGTTTAATAATGTCCACCTCAATCTTTGTTTTATATTTACAGTGAAAAATAAAACCACACCTGTCAACACTAAGGAGAGACTGGATTGTTGTTTCTTCTTGGATTCTACTTTGAAAATAATACCTGTAGCTAGAACTATATAAACTTAGAAATACTACATATGTATTAATACTTCTCGTCCTGTGTTTTGATGGCAAGGACACCGGATTTCGACTGGACTCATTGCATACCATCCTGCAACAGGAAGTCCTACTGCAAGAGGATGTGGAGCTGATTGAGCTGCTTGATCCCAGCATCCTGTCTGCAGGGCAACCTCAGCAGGAAAATGGCCACCTTCCAACACTCTGCTCCCTGGCAACCCCTAATATTTGGTACTGTCCAGAAAACATTTCTCTGTTGACTGCCTACAAATAGAGTATCATCAGAAGAACTCTATTATAATATTCTCTACTGTAAAGGCCTTATGAATATTCTGTTTATGTTTAGAATTACAACAAATGTAGTGATACACCAGACATAAAAAATAATTAGTTAATTAAAATAAAATAAAACGGTGCTGGAAAATAGTTATCATGTATTTATCCAACTCAGAAAAAGTAGTTCTGTATTTAGCTACTCAACAATTAGGGATAAATTCCTCAAAGTATCTGTACAGCAATGCAGTGTACATATCAGCCTCAGCCAGATAATGTCACAGCTATGCTCCAGAGATGCTGAAGGTAGAGAGATGGAAAAAAAGCACCAAGTACTGATACACTGCCTGAGAAGAGATCAGAACTGATAACGAATGACTTGAACTATTCGAAAGCTTACTTGGGAAGCTGAGGCAGGAGGATCATAGGGTCCCAGGAATTAGGGACCAGCCAGGGCAATACTGCAAAGACCTTGTCTCAAAAGGAAAAAACAGACAAATGAAACTCCTGGAACCTTTCGGCTACCAGAAAAGGAGTCTAATGCAAAAGTCCTAGATCATAATCTGTCTTAAAGTAGTCTCTTCAGAAAGGCAACGACAAATACTGAATGATGTTTTGTATAGCCATACATGTATGGGAGTCGTTGATGCCCTTCTCCTATGCATTTATCATGTTTGACAGAGACGGGACGAATGAATCAAGGAATGTACAGAGTTATTGCTCACACAGTTCAAGTTCCATAAGTAGCTGTATTAACTGTCCTGTGTTCTGAGTTTCTTTCCTGTCACATTGTCCTGGATAACCAAGTATGTTTCTAAGCCAGCAGTCACTGAAATAGCATCATGAGGAAATAAACATTTTTTTCTCTTTAAAAATAGAAAAATTTGCCTGGCATAGCGGTGTATACCTAGAGTCCCACAAATCTGGTTATAGTCTAGGCTACTAAGATACTTGCTTGAGCCCAAGCAATCAAGACCATTCTGGACAACACAGTGAAGACCTTGTCTCCAAAAGACCCACAAAAATGGATATTTATATGCATATTATACTTATATAATTAATGAATTTAAAGATCTGCAAAAAATGAACTGTAGATGCTAAGCATTTATGGGACGTAGAGAAAGCTCATTTCCCAGTGTTTGCCATGCAAGTTTAAACCCAGAACTCACACACTTTTTTTTAAAGCTTGATATGGTGGCATATGCATGCGATACCAGTGCTGAGGAGGCAAAGCCAGGAGCTCTCTGGTCTCACTGGATAGCCCAGCATAACCTATTTGGAAAGATTAAAAACAATACAAAATGGGCTGTTTGTGATGGTGCATGCCTGTAATCCGGGCACTCGGGAGTTTGAGGCAAGCTTGGTCTACACAGCAAGTACCAGGCCAGCTAGGGCTACACAGAGAGACTCTGTCTCAGAAAAATACACAAGAGTGATGAACAACAACAATAAAAATCCAGGTGGGTAGTACCTGAAGAATGGCACTTAAAGTTGACCTCTGGCCTCCTGTGCATACACACAGACATGTGCACATGCAGATTTTAAATATTAGCCACACTGGTATTTAATCCATAAAGGTGATTGGCTGAGCAATTATGAGAGTTTGTAAATGCTTTTAGAGTTTGCTGTTATCTTCATTACTATTCTATTGATGAGGAGACACCATGACCGGGTCAACTTATAAAAAAACATATTTAGTTGGGACCTTGTTTACAGTTTTAGAGGGTTGGTTTATGATGATTGTGGCCAAAAACAGACAGGCATGGGGCTGGAGCAGTAGCAGAGAGCTTTACATCCTGACCCAGGGGCAGCAGACAGTTGGAAAAGAGAAACTTCAAAGCCCACCCTCAGTGACATTCTTCTTCCAGCAAGGCCACACCCACTTCAATAAAGCCATACTTCCTAAAAATTCTTCTCAACAGTTCCACTCCTTAGTCACTAACCATTGAAATGTATGAGCCTATGTGGGCCATTCTCACACAAACCACCACAGCTGTTAATGATATAAAAGTAAACGATGCTATTTTAATTTCTGATTTTACCAGGATTGTAAATAGTCTTTAAAAGTAATGGATTCTGAAAGAAGCTAGGACTAACATTTATTAAGAAGCATTCTCCACACTCAAACTGGGAGATAGTTCTGTGAGTAATGTTCTTGCCACACAAGCATTAATACCTGAATTCAGATTCCTAGCAGCCACATAAAAGTCTAAAACCTAGGTGTGCTGGTATGTATCTGCCCTCACAGTGTGCAGGAGGAGTTAAGCAGACCCCGAGGCCATGATGGCCAGATGCTGTAGTCAAGATGATGGGCTTTAGGTTCCGTGAAAAGACTGTTTAAAGATAAGGTGGAGCTCGATGAGGGAACATAGGCACATCCAACATGTAAGCATTGTCACATGACTTCGAGTATGACACTAACTCCCAAGTATAGCTGATGCTATTTATACATGTCCTTAGATACAGTACCCCGTGTTCTTGTCTTATGAGTACACATTTCACCAAAGTTTTCACTGCTTAACAAAAGTATTTTTAACCCGCTAAATTTGTAATCAACCAAAATAAAAATTTTATGCATACTGTCATTTCCTTTAATGAAGTACAGAAGTCCGAGCAAGGCTTGCCTGTTTGATGATCTATGGCAAGAATGTTTTTCAGATTAGCGATGATTATTAAGTTAGATGACTATTCAATTACCGACTATGTTTTATTATTGCTGGTTTGACTCTGATCTTGAGACAAGGTTTTATTCTATGGACTGCATATATTCAGCCTCCTAAATGTTCGGATTGTAGGCTTGCACCATCATACCTTCAAGTAAGGCATAGAATGGCTTCTGTGTACAATAGGTCTTTGTGCAAATGGCTTTAGACAAAACAAACCCAAATATGTCTGAGATATTCTCTTTACTTTTAAATCTATAAAATTGTGTTTTTAAATCTATAATTTACATATTTGATACCATACAACCTAAAACAGTTGTAGAACACACTTCTTTCCAATGTCCTTTACCGAAAACTTAATAGATGCTATATTTTCTAAAACATTGTAGAAGACACTTCTTTCCAACGTCCTTTACCTAAGTTCACTAGCTGAAATTTTACTACCTAGGCAGCATCATCTAATGTGCTAGATGTGTGAAACTGTCCCACGTCTCCCTGCTGCATGTCACATTTCCACAGTATTGCTTCACACAGAAGCTAGCGCCTTGCTTTAATCAGCTGAATTCTATCATTGCTTTCTTGTCTGATAGCTATCTTTTTCTTGGTTTCTGTGTTCCTAGGGATGTCTCCATGCTGTTCGCCTTCATTAGTTTTCTCATCATGTTTCCCACGTGGTGGATTGTGTCTTCCTGGCTGGTATGGGGAATAATTCTATTTCTTTACTTGATCATACGAGTTTTGAAATTATGGAGGACAGCCAAACTGCAAATGACTCTGAAAAAATATAGGGTCCGTTTGGAAGACATGGCAGCCAATAGCCGAGCCTTCACTAACCTTGTGAGAAAATCACTACGTCTCATCCAAGAAACTGAAGTCATTTCCAGGGGATTTACTCTGTGAGTTAATTTATCACTTTATTTTTTAAAGGATCCTGTTCTGCTATTTACTTTAAGGAGAATGTCATCCGTTTTTATTTTTGTGTTACAGCTATGGCAGACGTCGACATAGGCCATTAGTGGAGAGAGAGAGTCATTCTATGCTAGATGGGTGTACAGTAGGGATCTGCTTATCTACGTAGATCCATGATCTGTGAAAAATGTTTTGCGAATCATAGTTGCTTTGGCCTATTGCTGTGTGACTGAGATAGTGAGTGTTTAACACTAATGCAATGGAACCCACGTTTGCTTCCTTCGTTCCCTATCAAAAGGCCTCATTGCCCAGTTGAGATTGTAGATGTACCTGACATGAACTCACTTTAAAATGTAAGCATATATTACTAACACTCGCAGGCTGACTGTTGGCAGCTGATGGTGCACATTCCCATGGGAAACTAAATATTTAGCAGCCTAGCTATCCCTCTTTACAATGCAGGAGATATATATATACATATATATGTATATATATTTATACTGTATACATACTGAAAGGGGATTGCAGGGCGGGGACGATGGCTCAGCAGGTAAGAACACTTGTGCAAGCATGAAGACTTGAGTTCACATCCCACACCTGTTAAAAATGCCAGGCATGGAGCTGTAACCCCACTGCTGTAAAGGAGTGGGGACAGGAACGTTGCTGAGACTAACTGGCCTCCAGCCTAGCTCTAGATTCCATGATAGAACCTGTCTCAAGAGAACAATGTCTTGAAAGTGCAGGGCGTGTGGCCTTCTGAGTACACTGGCATCTATACCCATATAAATACATACATGAGCATACACCACATTGCACACACAGAGGACAGGGGCTTACACTCATTAGGGACAAGCTGTGTTCCATATGCTATGCTAATCATTTTTGCATACAATTCAATGTATTCAGTTGTTCATAGCCATCACCTCTGACTTTAGAAGCCCGATTCCAGTACACTAGGCTACCTACTAAACAGTCACAGATAGCGGTTAGACCGTAGTATAGTTCATAATTTATTAAAAATTTTTAAAATAGTTTAATTAGCACATACCAATTATATAGTGAGTTTTACTTTGACATCCTCCTGCATGTACATGATATATTTCAATCATGTATTATATAGGAGTTTTGCTTTTCTCTTGTCCCCTTCTCACTATGAAACGTTTCTCTGTTGCCATTTATATGTGGGAAAATAAATATGCAGTGAATGGTTCCTGCATTTAATTAGCTGCTGTGGGAATGCAGTGAAGACCAGGAGGGAGGTACCACCTTTAGGCTTTGCTGCACTCACTCTGCTCTGCCCTGGGTTTATGCTTCCTTCCTCTTTCCAGAAAACCTCTGGAAGATCAGAGTGGAGAAGTGGAGGAATGTGTAGAAGTCACCGTGCTCTTGTGCTCTCGTGCACCTTAGAACGAGCCTGAGAGGATAGAGGAGTGTCTTAGTTAGGTTTCTGTTGCTGTGAAGAGTCACCGTGACCAAGGCCACTCTTATAAAGGAAAATGTGTAACTGGGGTCGGGTTATAGTTCAGAGGTCCAGTCCATTATTGTCATGGCAGGAAAAATGGTGGCACAGGGACAGACGTGGTGTTAGAGAAGGAACTTAGAGTTCTCCATATTGACCCTCAGGCAACAGAAAGACTCAAAGAAAGACCTCAAAGACTGCCCCCAGTAACACACCTCCTCCAACAAAGCCACACCCACCCCAGCAAGGCCACACCTTCTAATAATGACACTCCCTATGGTCCTGTGGCAACCATTTTTATCCAAGCCACCACAATGACATTGAAGACTTTTACGCCTTCTGCTGCTGGGTACAAAGCAAAACAATCCTGTGTATATTGATTTTATTCTTCCATTAGGTTAGATCCAATTCTTACCAGTAGATAGCAAATTTTAAGTTGTTTGTCAAATCTTAAAAACTAAAAGGTCACACTTAAATTAAGTAGTATCTCCTTCTCGTTGTTGACTTACACAGCATCTTATTGAGAGGCCTGAGTGATGAGTGGTTATGAACCCAGCCAATGCTTAGACATGTACACAGGATGCTGGGACTTGTAGTTGTCTGACTTTTACCCATATCATGAACTTAACATGAAAAGGTAAAGTAGGCCATTAAGCACTATTCACCCCTGGCTAAGTTCTTGTTCGGTGGCTAGTGGGTAAAGAGAACTGAAAGATGTCACCTCAGTGTGTCCATCTAACTGGACAGTGGACAGAAAAGTCATGAGGGATAGTCAGCCTTGCCTCCCAGTGTCTTTGAACTATTTCAGTCTGTAAAAGTGATTCAGTGAAGCACAAACCCTACTGCTTCACACTGAGATTACACTGAAATCCGGAGTGGTCTGCTGCTGCCTCCTGATTCCTTTCTGGCAAACGATTTAACCTTTCTCTTCCTGCATTCCCTTACTTAAAGTTAAGCCTGCCTGTCTTTGTCTGTATCCTTTAGCTTGGCTTTCCATTGTAAAGATTCTACTTCAGTATCTGTTTTATAGATGTGTGGTTTTATGAAGAAGACTTACAAATGGTGACAATTTTGTCTTGCTGTTGGAGGAGGTTACTGATTAGAATAACTGGCAGCGTTTAACCCTGCTTACGCTCAGCCATAAGCAACACGTTCTAACACTGCCACTGTTGCAAGTGCTTTCCACTGGCCTAAGGAAAGCAGTGAACTGTGAGTGGGTGAGACAGCTGGCCCGGCACACAGTAACCCATGCTCTGCCTTTCTGTTTGCATCCCCTGTTGGCCACTGGCCCTGCTACCTCTCTGCGTCCCTCCTTCACTGTGGTAGGTAAGTGCCAGTGGCAGCAGGTGGGTAACAAACTTTGCCCTATGCTTCAGTGTGCAGAACATATTCATACGCAGCCGTTAATTGTTATGTACATGCAACCAAACAAGTGATTTGTGAACATGCTGTAAATGTGTAGTAAGCATGAGAAAGTGCTGATAATTGGCCCTTCATACAACCTGTTGATACCGGCTTTGAAGCCTGTGGGAGTAGTTCTACTTTAGTGTATTTTAGCAGATAGACTGTCTTTATGTAGAAATCTATCCATTTTACTTAAACATTCCTCATTTCTACCTTAAATAAAATTTTCTCTATATTTGACTAAATATTTCTTGAGATTTTACACTTTTCAGCTGTTGCTCTTTGTTTCATTTGTGTGTTCTAGTGGGTTTGTATGTATTAAGAGAAAGGAGGGGATACAATGTGAGATACTTATAGTAATTTTAAGAAAGAAATTGTTTCTAAGTGTAATAGAATTGTGGATTTAGGAAACACAAACTTTAGGACACCTGTACAGTTGTATCACATTTTACTTTTCAAGTTTGCTTGACAGGGTCAGTGCTGCTTGCTCATTTAATAAGGCTGCACAGCATCCCAGCCAGCATCTCATCGGCCTTCGGAAAGCCGTCTACAGGACCGTCAGAGCCAACTTTCAAGCCGCAAGGCTAGCTACCCTGTACATGCTGAAAAAATATCCTTTTGTCTCAGTGTGAGGCTTACAGTGTTTCCAGCTCCCTGAATGACATGTTGCACCTGCGTCTGAGAGCGAGCTATGCATGAGGTTGCCTAGTCCGAGTCTAAGTTCTCTCTTCACCTCTGTTTTAAAACTGGAAGTACATTATAGGGGAATGAGAACGACAGACAGGAAGACATCCTGCCTGTGGGTGGATCGTTCCAACAGGGGAAGCTTCTCAACATCTTTGTCCTCACTGGTCTAAAGAAAGAGGCCAAAGAGCTTGGCTTTGTTAGATGAGACCCTTTAAGAAAAGGAGCAAATGTAGCAGACTTGTGTCCTGACACAGCAATGGCCTGGCAACTGAAAGTCCTTCCCCTTTCTAAGAAGACTAGCGCTGGACTGCCAAAGTTCAAATTTTGGTTATATCACTTTTTTACTGCTTAGGTGACTCTAATTAATTTAAGCTAATTTCCTCTTCTCTGATTTACTCTCTTCATCTTTAAAATGGCAGCAATCCCATAATTAGTTAGTTAGGAATCATAAATACGTTAAACTATGGGTAAACAGAAAATTTAAAAAACTACTCTGTGCCTTCTTCAGTTTGCTGGGTACTGATCAAGGTAATGTTTAGTGTTGACATGTGCCGTGTGTTCTAGCACTGTGTGCTTCACACAAATGGTTGTATTATTTGTAACTCTATGAAAACCAGAAAGAGAAGTTAAGTGATTTATAATTCAAACACATGACATATACACCTATATGTAAACATGTATTTTATATATAGCTACAAAGTACCATCTCTCTCTGGAAGTGAAGAGAAAACAATTTAATTCTCATGAAGAACTTGCCTGTCTACTTTCGCACTGCCAGCTATGTGTCAAAGACTCTTCCAGCTGTTAAAGAGACAGAGCACAAACATGAACTACCACTTCTGAGGACTTCTGAATGTGATCAGTAAATAAGCCAGCATTCACAATGCAGCATGATGCTCAGGGAGTCTCCCAAAAGTAGGCTAGCACACTGACCTAGTGGGATTAAAGAAGGCTTTCACATAAATTGGCCCTCCAAGAAGGAATAGGAATTGATCCTGAGAATATGAGTCTGTATTACAGATAGCAAGAAGCAAAAGGACATGGAGAGAGCCAGGCACGGTGGCACAGACCTTTAGTCCAAGCAGTGGCAGGTAGATCTCTGTTCAAAGTCAACCTGGTCCACAAACTGAGACAGCCAGGGCTACACAGAGAAGTCCTCTATGTAAACAAGCAAACAAAGAGAATATGGAAAGAACAGATTTGATAGTGGCTTGGGAACTCCATCCAAGTAGCTAGGCATGCAATGAGTTTTTTCTTGAATACAAATACAATTCTAAGCAATGTGCTTGTCACTAGCACATTGTTAAATGCGTAGATGCAGTCTCTGCCCCATAGAACATAAATTCAGGGTAGGGAGAATGAGAAAAATTGCTTGCCTCAGTTAAGCTTTTTCAATACTGAAGACCTAGCAGTGAACAAGGTAAACCACCCTTGTTCCGGTGAAGCTTACTTTCTTATAGATGAGATGATAAAAAATGGGCAGCTAAGATTTGCAGATATGCCAGGCAGTGGTGGCACACACCCTTAATCCCAGCACTTGGGTGACAGAGGTAATCGGATCTCTGAGTTTGAGGCTAGCCTGGTCTACAGCATGAGTTCCATGACAGTCAGGACTACACAGGGCTAAAAACCCTGTCTCAGAAAAACAACCAAGGGGAGGGAAGAGGGGGAGTTTTGCTTTATATGCTTAAACATGAAGAAAGTAATGTGGAACTTGAGGACTTTGATCCGGACTCTCTAGACTTTGTATCTAGATGAGCAGAACACCTAAAACGTGGTGTCCGTGCACAAAGCTCCTGGTGGACTAACTCCTGCACGAGCTCTCTTGCCACACTGAGGGAGTCCCACTGAAAAGGAACAAACTGATAAAAGCCAGAAGAGGTTGCACAGAAAAAATATATATATCCTAGAAGAAGCTGGAAACACACACACATACAACGTCTGACATAGGAATAAATTCAGCATATCAAGCTACAATTAAAGAGGGAAATAATTTGATTGCTCCTGATACATCCATGAGGTAGATAATGAAGACAGGTCAGTGAGACAAGCTAGAGCTGGCAGGTGCTGGCTTCAGTCTGGGAGATGTCGGGCTGAGGGATCAGAGAGGCAAAGAGAAGTGCTTGTACACAGGGGCCTGAGCCGCCACACAGCAAAGGACATCACACAGCTTTAGAGGGAAGTTTTCCAAAACGCCAGCGCTTTAGCCGTTGGAGACTTGCTCTTCTGATTGTGTGTCTTTATTGCTTTCAAACCAGCAAGAAGTTTATGGAATACATTGAAGAGGGCAGCAGGCTAGACAGTAACTAGAATGCTGCTGCCTACTTTGAACTGTTTAAACAGACACTTTATTCAAAGTACCCCACAATATGCCAGAATGTTATACCAATATGTTAGATCTTACTATTCATTTCTTTAAAATAACTGACACAAATCTTCAGTCTGTGTTCAAAATAAAATTAGTAAATATAATGTTTGAGTATTTGGGGCTACCTTAAATGTGCTAACGAAGAGGTGCTGTTGACCGCCTTAACCTAATTTAACCTACCCCCTGAACTCTGAGAGTGACAATGTCACCAACTACATCTGTGTGGTACCTTTTAAGGAGCTGGGGCTTGGACTCAGTGAAGACCAGATCTCAGAAGAGGAGGCCCATAACTTGACAGATGGCTTCAGCCTGCCAGCCTTGAAGGTAAGCAGCCCACTTAGCAGGAAGGGTAGGAGTACAGATGGACTGTGCCCTTGCTGTCTGACACAGCGGTGCTTCTGTTCCCCGTCCATGCTGCCAAACGCCACGTGTTTTAGGGGTCATGACACTGGCTTTAAATGCTGAGAGGTCATACCAATCAGTGAAGACATCCTTGTGTTTTGGTGTCAATGTTCTTAATTTAAAACACCATAGAGTATGTTAGAAATAAGTAGATTACTTGACAGGAAGCCCTAGTGAGATTGTTTCAACAAACCTGGGTAATGTACTTAATATGTATATCTTCCTTTATAAAGTCCCCACAATTTTTTCTTCATACCTTAGGAAATAATTCTTTCACTATAAGCAGCCACATGAAAGAATATAATTGACAATATAAAAGTTGAATTTCAAACTTCAAATACTATATACTTTAAGTGCAATAAAGTGAAATAGACTAACCTTAGTTCTTTCTGTATAAGGAGTACTAAGGTAACTCAAGCTTACAAGGGTAAGAGTTGGGCTCCACGACAGAGCATGTGCTCTCGTGCATGAGGCCCTTGGTTCCATCCCCAGCACTGCAGATGCAGTCAAGCAAACAGAGCAAGCAGAAGCTAGGCAAGATACACATACTGATCTCAGAGCAGTACAATCAGCCAATGCAACAGACCTTTTCATTGTACTATTGAAAGAAATACAAAGAGAGATACCAAATATTTTATAAAGGAAGTTGATTATTATCAACTTCATTATCAATGATGTCATCACTGATAACTTTATTATCAATGAAGATTCCAGGAGAACTCGAATACAGGTGGTAACAGCATACACCTGACAAATGAATTCAAGTCTTCACAAAGGTGGATAGCTGTAACCCAGAAATTTCACTCTGACTAATGAGGATAAATCCGATCCATCAAAAAGTAAGCTAAAAGCAAATTACAGTTGAGCCCTGGAGCATCAGTAGTGAGTTATAAAAACACTTCATGAACTGCTTTCTTGATGGTCATGTTGCGGGTGTTTGTTTTATAGGTTTGGTTTTGGTTTTTTGAAAATGTATTTCTCTGCTGTGTACCCCTTGCTGTCCTGGAAATCTGTAGAGTACGCTGGCCTTGAACTCAGAGATCTGCCTGCTTCTACCTCCCAATACATGTATTAAGTAAACACATGCAGCACCACTCCCTGACTGGCCATAGAAACATTAAAGAGAACAAATAATGGGGGAACAAGGCGAAGCTGTAAGTATCTGCCTCTGCCTCAGTCAGCTGCTGGTAGAGCCTCTCAGAGGACAGCCATGCTAGGCTTCCATCTAGAAAGCACAATGTGGCATCAGAAATAGGATTTGGTGCCCACCCATGTGATGGATCTCAAGTTGGGCTAGTCACTGAATGGCCTTTCCTTCAATCTCTGTTCCATTTTTGTCTGCATTTCTTTTAGACAAGAACAATTCTGGGTCAAAATTTTTGAAGGTAGACCCCACCCCTCCACTGTTTATCTACTGGAAATGGTCTCTTCAGGTTCTATCTCCCCACTGTTGGGCATTTCGGCTAATGTCATCCCCACTGAGTCCTGGGAGCCTTTCACATCCCAGGTCTCTAGGACTTTCTGAGGTTTGCCCCTACCCTTATCCCCTACAGCTGCAGCTTCCATTCATTCTCCTGACCCTCTGGGCTTCTCCCCTTCTCCCCACATACCTGATCCTACCCCCCTTTTCCTCTCCCCCTCTCCTGTCCCACCTAGGTCCCTCCCTCCCTCTGCCTCCCTTCTTACGGTCTATGAATTGTATCATGGGTATTCGGTACTTTTTTGGCTAATATCCACTTATCAGTGAGTACATGTCATGCATGTCCTTTTGGGTCTGGGTTACCTCACTCAGGATAATATTTCCTAGTTACATTCTTTTGCCTCCAAAATTCACGATGTTCTGTTTTTAGTAGCTGAGAGTTTTTCGGAGGTGGGAACCATGATAGAATAAAGGAATGTCTGCATAGGTCATGGTAGATCTGCATACTAAACCTTTGTACAACAGCTGGATCTTGCTTGCAAAGACTTTGGAACAATGTCTGCTTCCTCTGCAATATGCAGGTACATAGTTCCAAAACAGCAGGAACTCTGTTTTCTAAGAGGGGAAAGAGTAGGAGAAAACACTAAGAATGCTCCCTGGGGTAAGGGAACCTGAAGAGTTTCTTTATTTCCAGGGTAATCCTCATGATCATGCTTTTACTCTGTAAAGGTATAAAATATTTTTGAAAGAATAATTTGACAGATTTTTAATTAAGCAGAGGTGAATTTATATTTTAATGTGGACTCTAATTTGGCCTTAAATATAAACTATTCTTTAAACTTAACTCATTTTTTTTAAAAAGGTAGTAAAAACACAACTGCTTTTTAAAGTGTTAAATGAGATGACTTCAAAATGTGTGCAGCAGAGCTGGTCACCTAATGGGTCCTTAAAAACAGTCATTCTTCTTGTTTGTTTGTTTGTTTGTTATATAGATACTTATGTAAGTTCACAGGCTGTGTTTTCCTTTCTTTTAAATTTTATTTTATGTAAAATAACTTCTTGCCTGCATGTATATCTTTGCACCATATATATGTTCACAAGTCAGAAGGTGTCAGACCCCCAGGACCCTGACTTAACTTCAATTCCCAGCACCACATAGAAGCCACTGTGTGGAGCTGGGAATCAAAACCAGGCCCTCTGTAAGAACAAGTGTCATTAACCACAGAGCCATCTCTCAATCCTTTTCTTTGTTCCTCATTGCTATTCTTCAAGAAGGATTCAGAGAAGCAATTTTCATGTTTTTACATCTCTTTAAGCCATGTTTGTTCAGTCATTAAGATGTCTACTGAGTTTCCTATTTAGGTTTTGATGTAGTTTCTGTTTGTTTTCTGTTTTTTAAATTAAAATGTAATTACATCATTTTCTCCTTTCCCTTTCCTCCTTCCCAACACCTCCCTTGAATACCACCCCATCTCCATCTCAAAATCACGGCTTCTTTTTCTTTCATTGTTATTGTAATGTGCATCTTTTTGTTAGTCATTAATTATAGCATGTGTCTGTCTGTCTGTCTGTCTGTCTGGTGTGTGTGTGTAAATGCCTAAATATATAAATAACCTGCTCAGTCCATTTACTGTGTGTACATGTGTGCATGTATGCATGCGTGTGTGTATGTGTAAATGCTTAAATATATAAATATAATCTATTCAGTCCACTTTACATGTGTATGTGCATGTGTCTCTGTGTGTGGATGCCTAAATATATAAATACAGGCTACTCAGTCCATGTAGTATTACCTGTATGTATATGACTTCAGGGCTGACCACTTAGTACTGGATAAGCAACTAAGGGCCCATCCCTAGGGCAGACTACTGCTACCACTCTCAGCATTTCTTAGTTTCCTGTCATTCTTTGTCTATGAGATTTCCCCCTTCCAAGTCTTCTGGTGTTATACTTCTCTTGCTGTCTGCTCTATCTCTCATAAATTCACAGAGACTGGAGAAATAACTCAGTACTTAGGAGCACATGATGTTCTTCCTGAGGACCCGAGTTCAGTCTCATCACCCATGTTAGGAAGCTCACAGCCACCTGTAACTCCAGCTGTAGGAGATCCAACAGCCTCTTCTGGACTCTGTCGCCATTTACAGTCATGTGTTCAAACACACATGTACACACATGATCATTAAAAAAAATAGGTTTGCAGTTTTCATGCCAGACATGCTAATTCTTAGAACAAAGGGTAGTGTCAGTTTGAACCCAAATTTATTTTTTTCTTTTCTTTAAGATAAGGTCTCAAGGCTGTAGCTTTAACTAGCCTTTGCAGAGATCTGTTTGCCTCTGCCTCCTGTGTGCTGGGACTAAAGGTGTGAACCACCACAACTGGCTGAACCCAAAATTCCTTTTTTTTTTTTTTAATCTGTGTGGATGTTTTGATGTCTTTGCACCACATGTATGCAGTGCCTCTGTTCCAGGACCACCTGGAATACAGATGGTTCTAAGCTGCCTGCTTATGGGTGCTGGGAATAGAACTCAACTCATGCAAGAGCAACACCTACTGGTAACTGCTGAACCATTGCTTCAGCCTCAATTTTTTTTTGGGGGGGGGGGATGGTTTTTTTTTTTGGGGGGGGGTTTTCGAGACAGGGTTTCTCTGTGTAGCCCTGGCTGTCCTGGAACTCACTCTGTACACCAGGCTGGCCTCGAACTCAGAAATCCGCCTGCTTCTGCCTCCCAAGTGCTGGGATTAAAGACATGCGCCACCACTGCCCGGCTCAGCCTCAAATTCTTAATGTATATGTATGGGTATACACATATCACAGCATTCCTGTGGAGGTCAGAGGACAACTTGTAGGGGTCTTTACTTGCACCATATGAGTATATGAGTATTGGAGATAGAATTCAAATGGTCAGGCTTCATAGCTAGTACCTTTACCTGCTGAGCTATCTCATCAGCCTAAAAATAAATTTTAAGGAAAATCCATTTCTAATAAATTTGTGGGACAGGATGTCTCTCTATGTCTATCCCTGGCTGTCCTGAAACTCACTGTGTAGAACAGGCTGGCCTCTTAACTCAACAGATCTGCCTGCCTCTGCCTCCTGAGTGGCAGTGTTATAGGCATATGCTACCATACCTGACTTCATTTTTATATTTTAAATTATATGTGTCTGTATATATCACATGAAGTCAGAGGTATCAGTTTCCTCTGGAGCTGGAGTTACAAGCAGTTGTGAGCTGTCACATAGGTGGTGGGAAGTGAACCCAGGTCCTCTAGAAGAGCACTGAAGCCATCTCTCCAGCCCTCCACCAATTCTTAGGTCATTTCTATCTAGGATAGGACTGTGCTAAATTACATATAGGTGTTGGTTGCTGTACTAGAATCCTAACAACTCACAGATTATGACTGCATAATTCAGTATAGTGTCCTTGGCTAATCTTAGAGTTAGTTCAAGTTCAGATTGGTCATTATTTAGGATAATGTAAAAAGTTAAAGTCAGATGGTAAATTTGTAGTTTGTTTTGAATATTGACATTTTAATTGATCAGTATGTTTTCGCTCTCTCCCCCTTCTCCCTACCCCTTAGGTTTTGTTCCAGCTCTGGGTGGCACAGAGTTCAGAGTTCTTCAGACGCCTAGCCCTGTTACTTTCTACAGCGAATTCGCCTGCAGGGCCCTTACTCACTGCTGCACTTCTGCCTCATCGGATTCTCTGTGATGTGACTCAAGGTCTACCTCATGCTCATTCTGCCTGCTTGGAAGAGCTAAGGCGCAGCTATGAGTTCTTTCGCTACTTTGAAACTCAGCACCAGTCAGTCCCCCAGCGCTTATCCAAAACTCAGCAGAAATCAAGAGAGCTGAATAACGTCCACACGGCAGTGCGCAGCCTACAGCTCCATCTGAAAGCACTGCTGAATGAGTAAGTTGAGAAGCTGTAAGGAATCATCACAGCAGTAAGCAGCCAGTCTCAGCCCATTTGAGCCGTTCCTTGTGCCCCCCGAAAGAAGAAACAGAGCGGAGTCAGAGGGATGGTTTGTAGGCACGAGCTATCAGGGAGACAATGGTTTGTAAGCACTGTAGCTTAAGGGAATCGTTTGTAGCTTTTCCTTTTCTGGTTTCAGCAGAAAGCAGATGCGTCTTATCTTTGAGAAATAAAATGGAAGGGTGTCTTAGCTAGGGTTTTCCTGCTGTGAACAGATACTATGACTAAGGCAAGTCTTATAAAGGACAACATTTAATTAGGGCTGGCTTACAGGTTCAGAGGTTCAATCCAGTATCATCAAGGTGGGAGAATGGCAGCATCCAGGCAGGCATGGTGTGAGAGGAACTGAGAGTTCCAAAGGCAAACAGAAAATTGACTTCCAGGCAACTACAATGAGGGTCTCAAAGCCCACACCCACAGTGACACACTTCCTCCAACAAGGGCACACACTCCCTGGACCAAGCATATTCAAACCACAAGAGGATTATCAAAAATGAGCATCTTTTTAGCCCTCTTAACATCAGACATTGGAATTGGAGCCCACAGTCTAAGAAAGTACCTGTCAGTATTCTATAGCATTATGAGAGGTGCCACTGTATGTAGCTACAGGGTAATACTTGCTACTTTCTAATACATCACAACATATTTGGAACTATTCTATAGCACAGAATACACGTTTTGGCCTCAGGAAAGGGTAGTAGTCACATTTTCTATTTGTTTGTCCTCTGTTTACATAATACTGACATTCAGCTGTAGTTTCCAAATGGCTTATATTTGGCTTTGGTGTAGTTTCATCAATTGTATTTTTCTCATCTATTTGTAATGGAAATTTTCACTTTTAAAAATGGAATAAATCAGGTGTAGTGGGGAATTCTTGTAATCCCAGCACTTGGGAGGCAGAGGCAGGTGGCTCTCCGAGTTCCAATCTAGTATATAGAGAGAGTTTCAAGATAGCCAGAACTATATAGGAAGATTCTGAGAAAGGGGGAGAGGAGAGAAAGAGAAAAAAGAGGAAGGGAGGGAGAGAAGGAGGGAAGGAAGGAAGAAGTGAGGGAGTTGAACCAAAGTAGTCATTCCTAGTGAATTTTTTTCAATAAATTTCAAAAATATTGATAGAGTAGGGCTGGACACGATCTTGTGCTGGTAATCTGGAGGTCATTGGGATTTACTTCACTGATAAGATTGCAGGTGATAAACTCACCTGACCCAGAATATCAGTCAAGACGTGGAGGGAGAAATGCATAAATCAGATGCAAGATGAGGTGGACCAAAAGGCCTGGCTACCCGAGGCTAACTGAGCTGAGATGAAGGACGACAAGATATACAAAGACAGAAATGGAAGCTCACAAACATGTTGGAGAAGATAAGTTTTGCCTCAGTTCACGGCCTTGGAGAAGTCGATAAGAGACTTGTGAAAGGTTGGAATGGGAGAAGGGAGGAAACTGAGGTGAGGGTATCCCAGGCTCTGTCTGTGCTGTTCTAAGATGGCAGGTGAATACTGACTCAATTCATGGCAGGCTACATGGACAATAAGGCCATTTCCACATGAGTGGGGAGCAAAGGCTGGATTATCTGAGCGTATCAGAGAAGGTTCTCTAGAGCAGCAGAGCTGACACGACGAATGATATATGTGTATATGCATTCATTCATACATTCATATATATGTGTGTGTGCAGTTATATGCAGGTACCAATAGAGGCCAAAAGAGGGTGTTAGATACTCTAAGGCTGGAGTTACAAATGGTTATGAACTGCCCAAACTCCAGTACTCTAAAAGAACCAAGCTCCAGTACTCTAAAAGAACCAAGCTCCAGTACTCTAAAAGAGCACGAGTACTGTTGATCACTGGGCCATCTTTCCAGCCCCATGAATATAAGTTATAAGAGAGATTTTCATCCATAGCGCCAATTCCAGGACATCCAGCACCATCCTCTGACTCTGCAGGCACCAGGCACACACATGGGGCGCAAGACAGACATGCAGGCAAAATAATCATACATGCAAGATAAATAAATCTACAAAGAGGTTTTCTTTCTGAAGAAGAGGAGTTTTAGTAGGTTGGCTTACGCAGTAGGGTCTGGGTCGTCCCGCAGTAGCTGTCTGTGTCCTGGAACCTAGCTGTTCTGCCTGGGAGGCTGGGTATCATAGCAGTCCCAGTGTGTTCTGCGGGTCTGAATGATTTCTAAAGAACTGCTGCTCCTCAGTCCACACCCCAGGGCCACAGACACTGGGTTCAGATGCCACAGCAGAGTATTGCTGATGAGCAAGAAGCAAAGAGGCTTCTCCCTTCATTGAGTTCTTCCCTGGAAATGGCCTCACAGACTTGAGGATGCGTCTCTTAGTTCATGCTAGATTTGATCAAGTTGACAAGAGTAACCATCATACAGAGAAAAATGAGGTTTTAGTGAAAGTGTCATATTAGCCAAAATCAAGCCTCCTAAAAGTCTGGGGCAGCAGAATGAGAAGTGGGCCAGGCGTGTTAGAATACCATAGAATGAAGGTGGGTTAAGGAGGAAGAGTGCTACACTGAGCAGGCATGGATACACTGATACAAACGAGGCTGGAGCTGGGGACCGTGCATGAGAAATGTAGGATTCTGCTTCAGAATAGGACATCATATGGCACTGTCACTCTAGTATTATTAGCAAGTACATTGGGTACAAATAGTGTATTTATTTGTTTCTCTCCCACTGCTGAAGAACACCTTCTCTCCTTCTGTGTGGGTGAAACGGTTGGCTGTTAGTGAGTTGGTTGGTTGGTTGGTTGGTTGGTTGGTTGGTTTGAGGCAGGAGCTTGCTTTGTAGCCTGAGTTGTCTTCAGACTCATGCTCCTGTTGCTCAGGCCTCTGAGGTCTGGATTGTAGGACTCCACCCACTCCCTATCTGTAGTTCTTGCTGCTTTTAAAAGCATCACCTAAACATTTCTTCTGCTCCATAACTTGAAAGCTTTCCGATCTTTGCTTCTATCCATTGTCCCATTTGCTAGTCTCATCCTCAGTGCCTCCCTGTGGACTGCGCATGGGAGAGCTTAAAACATTCCTGTAACATTAAACCAGTACGCTAGGCGGTGGGGGCGCACGCCTCTAATCCCAGCACTTGGGAGGCAGAGGCAGGCGGATTTCTAAGTTCGAGGCCAGCCTGCTCTACAGAGTGAGTTCCAGGACAGCCCGGGCTACACAGAGAAACCTTGTCTCAAAAACAAAAAAACAAAAACAAAAACAAAAAAACAACAAAAATTATATATTTTGTATAATATTGAAAGAATATATATTATATATGTTATATGTATATTTAAATATATAACTTCATACATATATACACACACATACATATATATATATCATTTTACTGGCTATGAATGTTTTAAAAGTAGGAGATGGCTTAATTTATTCCTTTAGATCAGAAATTGTCTAGTAGCCGAGTGGTGGTGCCACATGACTTTAATCCCAGCACTTGGGAGGTAGAAAAAGGTGAGCTCTGATTGAGGCCCTCCTGACCTATGGAGGGAGTTCAAGGCTAAATGAATAAACTCTTATTTCAGAACCAAAAATGAAAGGAAAGAAGAAAGGGAAGGAGGGAGGAAGGGAGGGAGGGAGGGAGGGAGGGAGGAAAGGAGGAAGGGAAGGGAAGGAAGGAAGGGAGGAAAGGAAAAGAAAATGTCTAGTGTGTATATAAGAAATACTTGTTAAATACATTACATAATACTCCTTATAACTGTTCATTTGTTTCGGGGTGGTTTAGGTGCTTAACCAAGTGCTCTATCACTGAGCTACGTCTCCAGCCCTCCTGGGTCATTTTTAAGTGTACAGTACATACACACTGTTGAACAACCATTACTACTATTTGTCTCTAGAACTGTTTTAATTTTATAGGCTTAATTTTTTAAATACTCCTTAAATGATGAAATTTCCATTTAATCTATTAAAAATCTCATTTTCTTTGTTGCAGAGTAATAATTCTTGAAGATGAACTTGAAAAGCTCGTTTGTACTAAAGAAACACAAGAGCTGCTATCAGAGGCTTACCCGGTATTAGAGCAGAAATTAAAACTGATTGAGCCACACGTTCAGGCCAGCAACAGTTGCTGGGAAGAAGCCATTTCTCAAGTGGATAAACTGCTCCGGAGGAATACAGATAAAAAAGGTACCTCTGGATTATTTTCAGTGTACGCTTGTCTGTCAATTACACTCACTCCATCCTGCTGGAATTCCTCTGTTTGTGGCCTGCCTCAAACGGATGAAACTGGTTTCATAAAAGTTCTTAGTTTAATAAAAGGTGAATGTATGTACAAATTGATACTCAACTCCAAGTTTTGACTCTAATATAAAACATGTAGTGATCTGAGTGTGCATCCCATCTCCTTTATGAAAACTGGAATCAAGGAAGAATGTTAGTAGTATTTTCTACTATCAGAACTTCCAGAAACTCTTGCAGGTCTAGCAATAAAAGAACTGGTTTAAGCCAGGTGTGTTGTTACAAAACTTTAAACTCAGCTCTAGGGAAGCAGCAGCAAGAGGGTCGCTGTGAGTTTGAGGCAAGACCAGTCTATGTAGTGAGCTCCAAGACAGCCAGGACTACATAGACCTTGTCTCAAAAAAACAAAAAGAAGAGATTTAGCTGGATGTGGTAGTTCATGCCTGTAATTCTAGCACTTGGAAGACTGAAACAGGAGGATTACCTTGCAGAAGATAGCCTGGGCTACCTAACAAAACTCTGCCTCAAAACAAAATGAACAACAACAAATGAGCAAGTTGGGTAGTCAGGAGCCAGTATAGCTCAGTGGAGTCCATCTCAGTCCCTAGCGCTCCCAAAAGTGATGGTCATGAGAGAGATCCTGAGATCCCTCTCAAGATACTCTTCTGTTATGAAGACATAATACGGAAATGACATAGTTCATGGCTCTGAACTCTCCGGAAGCACCCCCGTCTAATCGTCGTAGATCAGGTCATCTTGTGTCACAGGCTACAGTGCAATGCTGAAATTTCTCCCCAACCTGCATTCTTAAAACTCGGATTTCACTCTTGGCTTTACACCACCAATTTTACTTGGAATGTTTCATATGTTAATTTTTTAAGTTGTGCTACAAGCCAACACTGTGTTTTTCCCACGGGTCTTTATTACAGGGTTAATTAGACTTGTACATTGAATTTGTATTGTTGCCAACAATAATTAGTTCATATCACTATAATACTGTTTTGTTTATAGTGAGCATTTTAATAATGTGTTTCAATGTCTTCAATGAATAAATTCTAAATGATAAAAATATTAACTTTTTTCAAAGAATATATTGGCATGATAGTGACTATGCTTCCTTTTCTCACAGATGTGTCTAGTGGATGTGTTTTTTCAAAGGATAAATCTCTTAAGGAATTTTAATATCTGTAAATATTTTAAGATTTTACCCTGAGATCTAGAACTTCTGAGTACAAGAAGAAACATTCTCTTTTTTTTTTTTTTTTTTTTTTTTAAGGTTTTTTGAGACAGGGTTTCTCTGTATAGCCCTGGCTGTCCTGGAACTCACTCTGTAGACCAGGCTGGCCTCAGAAATCCGCCTGTCTCTGCCTCCCAAGTGCTGGGATTAAAGGCATGCGCCACCACCGCCCGGCAAGAAGAAGCATTCAAAAGTACTTCGGGAGTTAAAGATGCAGCCCTGGCTCGTTCAGTGGGAGAGTGTGTGCTGACCATATAAAGGCTGTGCACTAAAGAATAGTACACGCCGTTCGGTGCTTCCTGAGCACACTCTGAAGGAGTAGATTATCTAGCCAGCAGCCAGTGAAAGCTGTCTTCAAATCAGTAAGCCAGTAGTCAGTAATGCTAGCCTGTTGTCAGTGTTTGTACACAGTTGCCCATAGCTATAAAACTTTAAATGTTTGAAAACATTCTGCAAAGCCAGTATATTAGCCAGATTTTTTATGTTTCATTTCAAAGTCATTTTAGAGGCTGGAGAGTTGCCTCTGCAGTTATTAACTGCTCTTCCAAAGGATCCAGGTTTAGTTTCCAGCACCTACATGGCAGCCCACAACTGTGTAGCTCCAGTTACAGGGATCCTGTGCCCTCTTCTAGCCTCCATGGGCACTAGACACACAAGTACCTCACAGACATACATGCAAGCAGAACACCCAAACACAGAAATATTTTTTTTTAATTAGAAGTCATTTTAGACTTATAAAAATATTACAAAGGACAGCCAGGACTACACAGAGAAACCTTGTCTCGAAAAACCAAAAAAAAAAAAAAAAATTACAAAAGTAATCCAAAATGCCCTTCACCTAAATTCTGTAATAATTGACATTTCACCACATTTGACTTATCTTTGTATGCATATGTATACACATGCATAAGTCCCATTATCCATAAATCTTCCTTTGTAATTATGAAAACTTGACATTCTCCTACATAATGCAAGATACTGTCATAATCAGGAATTTAACTGATACAATACAAAAAATAATACTGTATATTATTTGTATAATCTGATTATATAAATAACCTTTTTCTCACCAAAATTTCACCCACTATTTATACACACACAATAAGATTCAGTAGTATCATATTTACATGTTTGGCTAAGAACTATCAAAACTTCACATTCCCAGACTTGGGACGTAGGGTAACTAGCGCTAAAACACTTGCCTACTTCCCCTGGGCCCCTGGGTTCAGTGCCTAGCATACAAAATCCAAATAAATAAGAGAAACCTTTGTGTTCATATAAAAGCTCTATGTATATCTCTGTATGACTTTGTTTATCATCACTAAAATATCTAAAGGCCATGTGTCCTTCAGCTGCTGAGTAAATGGTGACATCTGTTCACTGGGGAACCACTCAGCAGCAAAAGGACTGATCACACAACAGGACAGTGTAATAGTCTTGATTTGGTTGTTTTGAGACATGGCTTTGTCAGTATAGCTTGCCTTGAACCCATTTTGTAGCCCAGGCTAGCTTCACACTTTTAGTGTAGGGATTGTGTTTATGCTGTTCTTCACACGGTGCTCTGGAAAAACTAGAAATGGGTGAGTGACTTAGAAAGAGGCAGCATATCCAGGCATGGTTGAGCATACCTCAGATCCCAGCACTGAGGAGGCTGAGGCAGGATGACTGCAAGTTCAAGGCCAACTTGGACTACTTAGGTAGATACCGTCCCTCCAACTCCCCCCCCAAAAAAAAAGAACAGCCAAAACATAGGCAGCATAGGTTAATTTTTAGGGGGATGAAACTCTCCAATATTCTAGTTGTTGGTAGTTTGATTATGTCTTTGTCTAACCCCGTAGAATTGGGTACCAAAAGGTAAAATTTTTGAAATGAATAAATTAGCTTAAATTATCTTCACCTTTTTGGGTTTTGCTTGAATTTGTGTATTTGTATTTATACAACTGTTTTTATTGGTGGTGTTATTCTGAACTATTTAAGAGTAAGTGGCAGACATAAAAATTCCATTATCCCTAAATATTTCTATCATAATTGCCAGTTGGTAATTTCCTAACTCCATTTTCTGTTTGGCATTTTACTCTAAGGTAAAGAATTCATTTGTCCACCTTACTTATATCAGTAAAACTTTATGGATGCAAATCTTACAGTAAATTATAATTTGTTATTATAATTACATTTGACTAGATAGAGTAACAAATTCCAAGGTAACGTTGTATGAAGGACATTGTTTTTCTCTTTTTGTTAATTTTTTAGTTAGCATAAAAATGAATTCATTTCACTGTGACATTTTCATGATCAGCATGATTTTAAACACTTTCTTATTTCACTTGCTTCCTCCTGGTATCAGTTCTGACACTAGAGAACCCTCAGTCCTTTCCATGGAGAAGAAGTGTTTAGAAAACAAGATCTGGATGTTCTGTGTGCTCATTGCCCCTGGGATGTAATTGATCCACATCTCAGTGTACAGCTGGAGTGGAAAACTATATTGTATACCTGTACACATATTCAGATCCATTTCTGTACCTGTCTGTGTGTCTTAAAAGCTGTGTCATAGCAATCATACTAATAGAGTCTCAACACCATGGGACTTATTGTCCTGCCCCATTTCCATATTCAAACCTCCCCTCTCTGTTATGGACATCTTGACTCATAACTTTCAACATATTTGCTTAGCACTAATCCCTCGCCACTGTGGACAGCTGTAGACTCATCCTCTGAGCGTTCTTTCTTTCTTACTCCATGTGACAACACAAGCCCATGCATGCCTAGAGTGTCCTCTAACCCCTCCCCAGTACCTTGCAGACATCCCTTGTCCCCAGACATCCCTTGTCTGCTTCAGCCCACACCAGGGTAATTTGTGCAGTAGGCCTCTTGCCAGGTAAAAGTCCCCATTGGAACCCGAATTTACCTCCTCTCATTGACATTTCAGTTGATTATTATTTTTAAAGCTTTACCTTAATATTTATTCTTTGAAGAATTAAGGAATTCGTCTGCTCAAAAGTTTAAATACCGAGCCTCCTCAACCCCTGTACCAGCCCATGGTTACTTTCTAGTTTCTCCATATCCTAGAGAATTCATGCACATGTTCATAAAATAAATGTCAATGTTTTAAATATTTTGTGGAATGTATTAATTTAGTACACTTTCTCTTGGGAAAAGAAAGTATTTTTCCTTGTGTGGTTTCTGAATTTTTATGTCATAAAGACTACCTACATTTCAAAACTGTTTAGTATGTTTTTGATTGCTTCTTAAACGTGTGAGTGTGTGTATGGGTGTGGGTGTGTGTATGTGTATGTGTGTAATGATTGAGAGCCACCATGTGGTTGCTAGGAATTGAACTCAGATCCTCTGGAAGAGCAGTCAAGTGACCCCTGAGCCTTATATTTTCTACTTAGCAGTATTAATGAACTGCCATCAAGGGCTGAGGTGTCTGTCCATCAGTTGTCTCACATGCTAGGCTTGCCCGAGGGCCAGGGTTCCCTCCCCAGTGCTTCGGGAGCAGCAAGCAGTACTTTGGGTTTGGATCTTCTGTTGTTGATCATTTTGTTGAGCAGTTTTCATTTTTTTATTCAAAGGCCTCACTGTGTTGTATCAGTACTGATAAGAAAAACTGTTCTACTGTCAGCCCTATGGAACTTTCTTAAGTGTGTGGTCTGATAGGCTGGCCTCAAACTCACAGATCTACCTGCCTCTGCCTCCCAAGTGATAAGATCAAAAGGGTGCACCACCATGTTTTGTTCTGTTTTTTGTTTTTGTTTTTTAAGGAGAAAGAATGTTCTGTTTTAAAACCCTCACAACACTATGAACAAAATATTTTGAGAGAGTGGAATATTTGTCATCTACCATGTGACAGATACTATGGCCATGTCCGGCGTGAGGTTAACTTAAAGCCAAGTGGTAAATATATATAGCTACTCCTGCTCCCTTTCGGTGGCTTTCATTTTTGAAAATAAAAGGTTTTAGCCAGAACAATTTGAGAGCCAGATAGGGTAATACACATCAAAAATCTAACACTCATGAGCCTGAGGTAGGAAGATTATCAGTTTAAAACCAACCCGGGCTCCTAGAAAGACCCTGTCTCAAGACAAGAAAACCAGGGGGAAAGGAAGTCAGACTGTGAAACTAACAAGTAGTGCTAAGGATGTCACGGCACTAAATGCTCAGTCGTGTGTTTCTGACGGCATGTTTCTTGTCCTTACTCTGCCTTTCCACCACTGTCTTTCTGAAGGCAAGCCTGGAGTAGCGTGTGAGAACCCACACTGCACCGCGGTGCCCTTGTTGCGGCCTACTCTACACATTGAGGACAGAGATCCCATCCCTGAGGAGCAGGTAAGGGAGAAAGGCACTTCTTCCCTTGAAGAAGTGGTCCATATACAATTTGCCTACTTTTATTTCAGGTGACATGGGTAACGTCAGATAAATTGTTGAATTTCTGCTTCTAATGAAGTTAAGATGTATTACAATATAATGTAAATTTATTTCAAAATATCTGCTCTTAGTGCCTTGCCGTGAATTTGACTCGTCACCTCAGAGTAGAAAATAGACACTGATAGTGTTAAACTTTCTCATCTAGAACTCTTTTTAGTATCCACTGTTTAAAGATTTTAACTTGTCGGCAGATATGTTTGTCATCTTCCTTCCTTCCTCCCTAGCTGTCATGTGACTGTCCAAGAGAAGGCTCTCCAAGGTGGATAGGCTGCAAGTAGTGAATACTGTTCCGAGAGCTGTCGGCTTGAAGTTCTCTGTCTTTGGTCCCTTTTTAGGAATTAGAAGCTTATGTGGACGACATAGACATAGAAAGTGAGTTCCGGAAGGACGATCCATATCACTTGTCTCAGGAAGACAAAGAGAGACAGAAGCGGGAGCAGGAGGAGTCCAGGAGGGTGCTGCAGGAGCTAAAATCTGTGCTGGGATTTAAAGCTTCCGAGGCAGAAAGGCAGAAATGGAAGCAGCTGCTGTTCAGTGACCACGGTAAGCTCCGACCTCAGAGCGCGGGTCATTTCAGGGACAGGAATCTTTTCTTTTTGAACCATGAATGTTGTTCAGACTGTAGAACTCCGGATCCTCCAGTCAGTACAGTACTCTCATGCAGAAGCAAAATCAATTTGATCAATAAAAAGAAATGCCATGTAATCCCACTAGGACTATGGAGTCAAGCTTTTTCACCAGTTACTTAATTCTTTGATAGATTTCTTTCAGAGTGGACATTAAACTGGATACACGGAGCCGGCTGTGGTGGCACTGTAATCCCAGCAAGGCGGTTAAGGCAAGGAGGGTCACGAGTTTGAGGCCAGCTGGGGCTGCACAGCATGTCCGTGCTACCTAGCTACATAGCAAGACCCTTTCAGGGGGGAGGGGGCAAACAGAAGAAAACTATAAACTTGAGATGATAAGCTCTGTTCTCTATTTAAGCACTTCAGTAAAACTCACCATTAATATCTGTAATGATGAAAAATGCATAAAGATCCAAGCCACTTGGCCACTTGGTTCAGGTGACTTAAGTCCATGGAAGCAGAGGAGGTGTTTCCGTGTACACCGACTCCAGTCAGGTTTGGATGCTGTTGGCTGGCCTTATATTTCTTCACATTACTCTCACTTTTTTCTTTAGTCATACTTCATGGGAGGCAAAAGAAGGCATGAAGAGAAAGACAGTTGGTAGTTGTCAGGGTCAACTTAATTCATCCTCAGTTGAATTAATTCCTGCGGACTTTAAGAAGGTAGAATGGGCTTTCCACTCCAGTTTAGAGTGGCCTATGAAGCCTCAGATGCAGTTGCCTGCCTGCCTGCCTTTGCCCTTCTCAGTAGAGGGATATAGACTGCCTGTTCCGGAAAGCTCCTTGGGTCTGTCCTGTCTTCTCTTAGGACCCCTCAGCCCTCTCCCCAGCCACTCTGTTGGTTTCCTCCTTCTTTGCTGTTTCTCTTGGCTCCTTTAGAACCCAGGTCCCCTCAAGATTCTGCTTGTCCATCAGGTAGCCCTGTAGCCTGCTCCCGTTTCAGCACTTTCTTCCCCCTAAGCTATCTTGTAACCTATTCCAGACTTTGTTCAAACTCAAACAGCTTGCTGATGATGGCCTTCTGTCTTAAAACCGCAGTACTTCCATCTTCCTTTTTGTATTAGCCTTGCCAGCATAGGAATCCATCCTGGCCTCTTGTACTTCCCAGCATTTCTAATAAAGATCTTTCTCAGCCTACCTTTATCTAATTAGACTAGTCCCACAGACTTGCTGTGTGTATTCATGGAGTAGATGTGTACTGGCCTGTGACCTAGAGCTCTGTCCTCTGTCCGCTGTTTCCTCTGTGAACCTCAGCTGCCCCACCTCTCCTCCAGAGGTACCAGTAGCTGGGACCTGAGGGGAAACTGGAGCAGCAGAGCAGAGAAATGGAGAGCTTTCCAGAAGCAGCAGTAGAGTTCTGTAGTCAGCTTGCTCATGAGTTAGAGATTGCTGATAACATTTTTTTTAAAGACATAATTGTTTCTGTGCTCAGAGATTTTTGTTTGTTTTGTTGTTTGTCTCTAAATTTCTGTATTTTTTTTCTAGTTTCTATTCTCCAACAGCATTCATTCAGCAGATTGTAACTCAACAAGTAGTAATCAAGTCCCTGTTAGACACCTGACACTGTTTACTGCTAAATGTAACACATGGATCAACAAACAAACAAACAAAGCCCTAATCCCCTAGAGACTTAACTCACACTGCTGTCAGCGGCTGCTTCCCTTCCAGATACCCGTGCTCCCTAATTCAGTTAGCAGTGATCCTGAACCCCTGTGACACGGTACACTTGTTAAGACCTAGCAGACTTATGAACAAAGAATGTGCAGAAATGCTGAAAATATCATTACCTGTAAGCTTGTATCTTTTGCTACTGTGCAGTGTTTTCTTCATCTAATTTAGCTGTGAAATGACCTACTGGTTGACACTGGGCAAATGAGAGGAAATGTGTCTCCTTTTCAAGACCATGCCTTAGACTCCGTTTGCACTTGAAAAGGCAGTAGTGCTGTATAGTTTGTGAAAATAAGTAAAAGATCTGCTGATGCCAGAAAAATGCTTTCCCGTGACAAATGTCAGTACGTCTTCCAGAGTTGTTTTCATCTCTGCCTACAGGGGTAAAGTCCGAGTGGAATTAGAGAGGGACGGCCTCCGCTGGACCTGCTGTGGCCATGTTCTGTTGTCGCTGCTGCTTCCGTAGCGCGGTTACCACAGCATAGGCGTGTGTCTTGGAAACGGACGCGTTTTACAAAAATACGCTTTTTAAATATACGCCAGACTTCAAGACGCACTTTTTTCCTTCTGCCGTGCTTCATAATATGTTGTATTGTACTAACCCCTCATGCTGGGAGGAGAGACGGCCTAGCGAGCAACCCACTGCCTACTAACACCAAGAGGGGCTAACTAAAACTTCATTTTTCTTGCAAGGACAACTTCTACTGTATGGATCTATATTATATTTATGTGTTATATTTTGTTTGGTACTTAGTCTTGAATGCTGATTCTATTTCATTTGTGTTCTGTGTAGCACTACAAAATGTAGACATATGCTTTACTTCCTTCCATTCAGGTTCTGTTAGGTGATTGGCAAATAAGTTGAATTATATGTGACTTTTTTTATGCTGTTTTACCTTGTAAATACATATATATATATATATATATATATATATATATATATATATATATATAAATTTTTTTTGATGAAGATGCCGTTATCTGGGTCACATTAGGCCCAAGCTTTAGTGAGCATCAGAATCAAGTGGGATGGCTTGTAAATGTGCCCGTCCCCAACCCCAGTGTCCAGTTCCCTGTCTGTGATCAGGATCACAGGCTCTAAGATCTGTTTCCAGCAGCTTCCGAGGGGATAACTGGGTCTGCTGATTCAGGGTGCTTTGAGAAGCACTGCCTTTGAACTGCAGACTCTTCAGCAAGTCCCTGTTTCGTTTCATTTCTTTAGGTATTTTGTCTCATAAAACTCCCCATATTTGTAAAGTTACATTTATTTTACTAGAAAGTTTTATTGAGTTTTTATTTATTTGTTGCTCCTTTAAAAAAAAAAAAAAGCAACTGGAAATTTAAAAGTTGTTGGGCCCTTAGTTATTTTTTTTTCTTTTTTTCTTTTCTTTTCCTCTTTTTGTTCTTTGAAGCTGTGTTGAAATCCTTGTCTCCTGTAGACCCAATGGAATCTGTAAGTAATTCAGAAACACCCATGAATTCAGATACAGACAAGGTCCATAGTAATGCTACCGACGTGGAGACTAGTAAGCCCTGTGCCGGCGACAAGGAAGACAGTAGGACTGAGTATGTGTGCGATGGCCCTCCACAGGGGCAGAGTAAAGACACCTCTGCAGACGAAGGCCCCCTCCGAGGAGCCGAGGAAACAGTGTGCTTCCAGTGTGAGAGTGAGGCTGAGTCTCCTCAAGCCGCTGCTGCGGGGGCCACCGCCCCGACTCCCAGGGACTCACTCCAGCTCTCCATTAAGCAGAGGCTGGCTCGCCTCCAGTTGTCACCAGAATTCACCTTCACTGCTGGCCTGGCTGCAGAAGTGGCCGCCAGGTCTCTGTCCTTTACCACCATGCAGGAACAGACTTTTGGCGACGAGGAGGAAGAACAGCTAGTTGAAGGAGGTGAAAATGAGGTGGAGGAAAAATAAAAGCCAAGATGAAGTGATGTCCTCGATTGTTCCTTTTACAAAAGTGTTCTAGCTGCAAGACTGGGAAGGGAAATGAGTGTGTGTTTACTCTCTATAAAGCTACGGCGCGAATTTACAGGGTGAATACTGAATTGAAAACCTGACCTGAAATTAGTAGACACCTGTATAGGCAGATCCTTTAGGCATAGGAGAGAAAGGTAAGGGCTTTTTTTTTTTTTTTAAATAAACTTCTGTTTTATTTGTGGCAAACCTGATCATCTTGGCAAATCTTTAAATACTTTTAATAAGAATGAATTTATCATTTTTTGCCAAAACTTTGCTGCCACGAGGTCACTAGGATGATTCTCTTGCAGAGCATAAACATTTAGAATGAGCCCTTTCTACTGTGTCTTTGCAGGGGTAACTGCAACAGTCGTGTTAATACATTGTTCGTATTTTATTTTGTTTATACCACTCTTAAAAACAAAGATACAGGTTCTAAATAAAAGTATTTAATTACTACAATTGATGTGTGCTGGGGTTTGGAACTTAAAGTAGTTTGAAGGTTGCCTGGGCTGTAGCATGTCCCGTATGCTCCCTTGTTCATGTGTGCTCATTTCAAGGCGCCATACAGTTTCAAGGGAAAATAGCATGCCCTCTTAGAGAATGCCCTTCTAGGGGTTTGTTCTCTCCTGTTGTAACTCAAAGAACTGATGATGTCCAAGTGCTGTCACTACAGCAAAGGTCCCAGCCCTGCAGAAACTAATGTACATCAGTTTACTTCAAGACAACTGTGCCTCCGCTGTAAGTAGGTCCTGTGCTGTCATTAGCCTGGCCTGTCTTACTAAGACTCAGGAAACACGTCAGCGACCTTGGAAAGTATCCTTGTCCCTTTGTATTTCGTTGTGAATACGTCTTGAGATGCTTTCCACAGACCAGTCTTGTCTGCTTTGTGCTGGAATTCTGTTCTCAATGACATTTTTAGGAATATTCTCCTTCTGAAACCTGTTGCTACTGTGCACTCACAGAGTTTATAGGCATTATTTTGTGAGGAATGTAAGAAAAAAAAACTCAATTTATGCTGCTGTTTCAGGAGGAAAGTGTATGACTTCCTGGAACTTACTGCTTTTAGTGAGGAAGTTTACTTCTTCTCAAGATTTGTTGTTGTTTTAGTAACTATTTCTAATCCTGAGGAAAATCTCCTACTTTGTATGAATAGACTTTGTACTGTTAGTGATTTTGCCTTCTTCTGATGCTTAGCAGTGCCAGCATGTCTGGAGCAGTACCTTAAGTCAGACATGGAAGCAGCTCTGTTTCAAGAAAGGGAAGTTTCTCAGCATTGTAATGACCTCTGTATTCCTGATTAACACACTTTTACTTTCTTACTTAAATTATTGTTTACCAACTTCAGTCCAGTCTTTTATTCACAAGCTCTTACTAGGTTCATGGAGACTGCTTGTTGAAGTCATGACTAAGGACATTGAGACTGTACATGATACTCTAATACATGCAGTTTTTATTTCTTTCATCATTTAAAATAGTTCCAACATAAAGCTGTTTTCTTTGTGAAATTTTCTTGACTATTTTTCTCTTATAATATCTTAAGCCAGTGTTCCCCGGTTGTTTTAGTGAATACCTGAGTCATAATAAAATAGAAGTCCTAGTTTTTAATGCAGACGTTAAGCTGTGCTTTCTGTAATTCTTAGTTGTTTTGGAACGAGACCTAGGTACTGTTTATGCCCACTAAAGTCTCAGATCCTCTGCATAACACTTTGTGCTTCTTGCCATGAGTACGTTTTATACATGGATAGGCTGATGGGATACAAGTGGATACCCTTACACATGCTTTCCCCAGGCTACCTCACTTCCTCCTGACTGAGGTTACTAGATGTCCTTCCATATCCAGAAGAAACCTTCTGAGAAAATTTATAGTCATATTTTCCAGTTTTTGTAGCATGATTAATCTTGTTGGGAGTAGTATTCTGACACCTTTTACTACGGATATTGCCAAAGTTTGTTTTACCAGGATTAATCTAAAACTCGGGGGAAAAATAGCATGCTTTTTAGGTCACCCATGAAAACAGACATCTTGCTGCATCTACAGACGGGAAGGAAGGTCGGGACAGTAAGTGGTCTGTGTCACTTAGCAAGCCTCAAAACCTCTTCTCTGCTTCTAGAAGGCCCTGGTGTCTGGCAGATTCAGGGCCAGACTCCTGGCTGATCTTTCTTTTGCAGTCCTCTATGGTTTTCTTATTTTGTTGTTGTTGTTTTTTTTTTTTTCAAGCCGTGCATGTTATCTAACTTCATACATAAAGTCCTTGTTGTCCTTCTTAAAACTAATTAATAGTCATAGCATCTGAATCTACTTCATTAGGAGCCAGTGATAAGCAAGTCAGGAAAAGGATACATGTTTAAGGCAGATTGCTAAGGATGTTTAAGAATATAGCTTTCAGACCCTGGTGTGACTCATACTTGTGATGCCAGAACCCCAGGCACACAGTTGGGAGGGTCACTGCAAGTCCGAGGCCAGTTAGGCATGCTCTAGGATAGCCAGAAATACACAGTGAGAACCTGTACCAGTAGGAAAAGAAAAAAAGAAACAAAGAAAGCAAACAGCAGGTGTCAGGCTTCTGCAGAAAGAGGCTGGAGTTTGAATCCCAGGCCTTTCATTCAAAGGATGCAAGAACTGTAACCTCGCCTCAAGGAGAGTTTTCTCAGGAGACCCCTAACTCCTGGAATTGCAGAGCAACATTTTTGATTTGTTAGAAATTTAAAAAGAAAGGTTGCTTTGGAGGCTAGAGAAGTAAGAAGATCTGGTTCTAAATGCATAGCTCCATTTATTAAAGTAGATAGTAGTATTCTATTTCATATGCTAAAAGACAATTGCTTGAATGGTGAGCATAAGAAAAGTCAATTTCTGATACATTTAAAAGGCTAGAACTTAACAGGGTGTTGAATGGAAGTGACCCAAGATTGTGTTTCACTCTATTTTCTTCCCATGTAAAACCTGAACCGTGCTTCATGCTGCTAAATGAATAGAATTAATAGGGGGAAAGGTGTCACTGGTTGTTTTAGTCGTGGCCTATTGCTCTTATACCCAAATAGAGCAAGAGTATAGCACACCTAAGCCTGGTTGACCAAAGTCAACAATACAGTGCTTGAGCAATCCATTAGGATTGATTTTTTTTTCCAGATCTGTTTATAGGGACATGTCTGTACTGTATGCTTAGATTAGAAAACAAAGGTGCAAAAAAAATGTACAAAATAAAAGACAGCAAAATGCGGAGCATAGTGACCATTCATTGTCCTCATCAGCTGGTCACTAACATGAGTCCCTTCATCTTTCAGGGAATGAAAGCAGAACTCATTTATGTAGTCCTTGAACTTAACAGTCTGCCAACGGGATTTACCTCTCCTCTCCCTTAACCCTGGCATGTACCGGAACTAGCTTAGCCTTTCCTTTGAGAATATCAGGTCCTCTGGGGAAGAATGAACAAATTCCCTCTCGGGACAACTGAGACCTGTAACATCAAGCACTCCTTTGCTGCGTGATTTCACATTGCTTGCTTTTTGAGTCGTGTCTGTTTTTTTCACAGTTTCTCTTACCTTCCCCTATAATCCGCCATGTTGTGTGCCTGCCTTCTGCAATAGGCCCCTAACTTGCTGCTTTTAATCTGCTGTGGACTGAGAAACCAGATTGCCACGCTTGCTAGAACTGTGTCTAAACTAAGAGTAAGTAGACTGGAAAAGGCCAAGAGCTTTTCTGTCGATCATGTGCATGGACCATTTATTGCCTGTTTTGCTTCTTAGCATTCTTGTGTGTGCGTTTAGTGTTTTACTAAGAACTTGCTAAAAAATACTTGGTTAAAAACGTGATTGCCGGGGCTGGAGAGATGGCTCAGCGGTTAAGAGCACTGACTGCTCTTCCAGAGGTCCTGAGTTCAAATCCCAGCAACCACATGGTGGCTCACAACCATCCATAATGAGATTGGATGCCGTCTTCTGGTGTGTCTGAAGACAGCTACAGTGTACTCATCAATAAAATAAATAAATAAATAAATATTAAAAAAAAGAAATTACTTTAAAAAAAAAAAAAATACATAAAAAAAAACGTGATTGCCATGTATTTGAAATATTAATTTGATGTTTGTATGCTGATGTTCTAGGACTCTTTATCAATGAATTTAACTGTTAAAGAAAAATCAACGTATCATCTTTGTATGTCACTGTGTGTATTTCAGAAAAATGTTGGCCATTTGTTTTGTTAATTAGTTTTCACTCAGTACACAAGCTTAAAGTTTATGTCATTATCCTGAATTCTGCATAGCATGTATTACTATCAAGAGTTACTGGTTTGAAACTAAACCTGACTCATTTAGTAAGAACTGGCTGGCTTGACAGGGGAATGAATGAGACAGCCCAGTTCTCTAGCAATGTACAAAATACACCTTAATCTTTCCTATATTAAAATGGTTATTAAGGGGCTGGGGAGATGGCTCAGTGGGTAACGTGCTCACTGTACAAGTATGAGAATGATAACACTTACTCAGATCCCAGTACCCAAATAAAAAAGTCGGGCATATATGTGGCATACATGTATAACCCAGCCCTGGGGGTTAGAGTCAGAAAAATCCCAGAAACTCTCTGGCCTGACACTCTGGCCTCGTCAGTGAAAGTGGTCTAGGGAAACCCCGAACATCAACTTCTGGCTTAGTACATATACACACGTACATCCACACGAATATGTGTGTGTACACCTTCTTGTATACATGTACACACAAACATGTATACATAAGCATACAAAATTATCATCATCATTGGTTTTTGAGACAAGGTTGCTCTATATAGCCTTGCCTGTCCTGGAAATCACTGTGTAGACAAGGCTGGCCTTGAGATCTGCCTGCCAAGTGCTAGCTAGGATGAAAGATATGTACTACTACAGCCAGCTCAAAATGATCATTATTAACACCGGTTACTATACTCTGGTACACTAAATACCAAGAACTATCCCTTTAATAAGCTCCATTTGGTTTGACTGGGCTTCAGACGTCATGTGTTTGTTTTGGTAGCGATTCCTCCATTCCTATTACTGCAGACTTCAGTGTATGTGAGTTAGCGGCCCTTGTCCACTTTCACACATGCCTTCCGGCCTGCTGTGAAGGCTAGATGATTGCTAGTTACACTGCATAAGGTAAGAGCAGACAGAGGCAGAGTGACGGGCACACTGCTCAAGCTCACGGACTCCTCCATAGGATTCTTATGACCTCCTAGATGACGGTCTTTGACCCTGTGAAATGGCTCGGTTAGATGTCTGCTTTGAAAACAAAATTATTGTTATAAAAGAATAACTTTTCTCCCCCCAACATTTTGCCTTCTCTAAAATTGGTTCTATACCTGTGATTCTTTCGCAGGAATTAAACCAGTCCATTGGAGTTAGCATTGTCATATATATTTTCTGTTTGAATTGGAAACCACATGCTGTCTTGAATTTCTTTGGCTTTCTTATTTAAGAGAAATACATTTTC